AGTTAATAGGAACTAACAAGCTGGTTCTTAATTATTTTTCTTAAATACATAAATCTTCAATATCGAGAAGTATCCAAATTAAGACAAAACACTGTAAGGTGACAGAGCCTACAACCTACAAGCCTTCAGGGAAAAAAACCCCATTAAATAGTTTTTGTAATCAACATCTAATCTGTAAGCATCCCCACTACCTATTTAGACATGTAAGAGTGAGATCATTTAATCTCCTACTTGAATTCATTTAAACAAATACCCTGAACAACCAGATCTAACTTTAAGAGTGACCTTGATAGAGAATAGTACCTTACATCTTAAATTCTCACAAGAAATCCTGCTGCACCTTTTTACCTGAAGGCCCATGTTGAAGGTTATCACATATAACTTACCACAGACTTGCATTTACAAAATATTGATGCTCATGGTGTCGTTCTTACCAGTGGGATTTTTGCTCAACATGGGCTGACATTCCCTCCCTGTCCTAAGGAAGCTGGAGCCTCAGTGACTCAAATTCTGACTCATAAGACTAACAAATTAAGTCCCTGTATATAAAGCAGATGAAGATGATGATGTGCCTGCTTTTAATTGTAAATCATGCTTGAAACTTCAGCTATGATTCTCAGAAATCCAAGGTAAGCACCATCATTTTCAATACCGGGTTGGAAGGAAACCAATGATCATCTGGTTCAACCCTGCACAGCTAAATCGTACAAGTGTAAGACATTGGGGAATCCACCACTTCCCTGGGGAGATTTCTCACAGTGAGAACAATCAACTAGTGGAATAGTTTTCCTCATTTCCAAGTGGAAGCAGCCCTTACCCCTCATCTTTTCCATGTCACTCTTGTAAAAAGGGAATCTCCCTCATCTTCTTTGTAACCATCCCTGGAACACGGTGATAAGTTCTCTCCCTAAGCTTTGTTTTCTCAAGACTGCACAAACACAGTTCTCTCAGTCTCAGCTTATAATACTACAACAGTATAATAATGATACACTCAATTCACTTGAGTGGCTGAGTAGACCAATGAAAAGAATAAGTGATTTCTCCTTTATGGATATACAGAGAAGATTCCTGCTACTGTACTTGAAGACAGCTGCAAATGATGAGCTTAGGCAGGAGTGGAGTCCTCAAGTCCTGGCATATCCACCTAAGAATTTTCCTTTCCTTTTATGATGATATTCCTGTGGAAGTATGGAGCAAGAAAGTGAAGTAGGACTTGCAAGGCAAGATAAGGGAGGAAATGCTATCAAGGAGTAGTAATAGCACTACAGTCTTGTCAAGAGTGCCAGCACAAAACATGTTTATTATTCAAGGTGTCTCATGCTTATTCTTCATAATGGATGGTAGAGGAAGTGGGATGCAGGAGGGTTTGAATACACAAGAAAATCTGAAGTTAAGGTGAAAGGTCAGTCAAGTGTGTGGTCACCTTGCAGCAAGGAGCAGGCAAGGGTAGGCAGCTGAATTCCATTTGCCTGCTCACATGCAAGTGTTTCACCCACACTGTCCTTGTGGGAAATTCTGCTTAGCCTATAGTATGTATCACTAAAAATACAATGATCCTTTGTACAGAAAAAATCCTTTGTACATAGAAAATGGGAACTGCTTTAAGGAACGAGCCTTTTCACCCAAAAGAGACAAATATTTTGTGCTGCGTATGCAGCTGCTGCCCCTCCTAGCAGACATGCCTCAAGGTTTTGCCTCCAGTCATCTTGTTTCTGTTGTGACAAGATCGAGAAATTGTTCATCATGCCATTCTCCCCTCCCTTTTCCTGAGGCTAGCAAGATATCAAAACCACAAGAATGAGCCTGTCCCAGGGCATAGTAGATGCTAACTTAAGCATGGATAGGGGGCAAAGGCAGTGCAGAGGACTGTCAAAAAAAGAAAAATGCTGTCTTCATTCTAGACTCAATAGGAAACTTTTTCCACACCTTTGTCCTGACTAAAGTCCTGTATCTCACTTCAGGTTTGATTGTGAAATAGATGATTTGCTAGAGACAACACAGCTGCATGGACTTGCAGGTTGCTGTGCTGAAGGCAGATCCACATGATGAAGGCACACACATTTATCAGATTGTTTTCCTAGGACCTTACAGAAGCAATGTGGCTCCTGTGCCTTGCAATGTGCAAGCTCAACAGCAGAACTTGCTTTGCTCTAAGTCTTTTGAGACTTCCAAATTACAGAGTACAGTTTCCAAAAGCTGTGCCAGACTACTTACACAAGGTTGCTGCTTCAAAGTCACTTTCCTCCTCTCAGTCCAACAGGAGTAGGGCAGCCTGCAGTCTGCAGCATTGATGTTATCACCTGTTGAACCTCATCATTAAATAAGGAATGAGCAGTGGCATGCCACTTCATCTGACAGAAGGAATGAATGCCATGGAGGCAGAGGTGGGCCATGACCCCAGCATCTGACAGTGGCCACTTACCATGAACAGATCCACATCTCAGCACCTGGAGACCTTTGTCTTGTGTGCTCACTTAATGAGTTCACCAGAGGAGTTCCCAGACAAAAAACTGGAAGTCTCAACTGCTTCAACTGGCCTCTGGTTCCAGGGAGGAAACCCTGCCCTGGGCTGAAACATGGAGCTCTGCAACCAGACAGATGCTCCCATTTAGCACGTTAATGTTGGGAAGCAGACAGGTTCAACAGCAAATCAGGAATGCCGGAGGCAAGGGCTGTTCTGAAAGAGTATACCCACGCCTGTCCTGTGGGAAAACTAATGCCTAGTACAATCAGATTCCAGGATGCATTACTTACTCCACTTAAGCAGCTCCAGATAATTGGGGGCAGGGAATGTTACAAGTCATGCAAGGAAATTTATTCTGAAAACTACAGATTATTTTAAAAGCTCTGAAGGGGATTCAGAACTCTGCACAATTTAACTGCAACTAAAACACTTGGGTGACAGTCCAAACTCCTGACTCATTTTACATATGGGAGATGTTTTCCAAACGGAAAGGAACTAACCCTAATAACACATGTAGAAATATCAAAGTTAACTCATTCCATCTGAAAACATTTAGAAAAAACAATACGTTTAACCGTCAGGGTTCTTGATACTCTTTAGGTTTAATTTGTTCTTCACCAGTGAGTCAAAGCTCCTTCCAACTTTCAGATAAAATGTTTCAAAGATTATACTAACCCTTTTCTGCCAGATAGGTTTTAACTGTATTAATGAAAACTATTATTTAATTCCTTAAAACAATAACTAGATGGTTCATGTGGTTTTTTTTTAAAAAAATGTTAGTGTTTCATATTTCTATGTCATGCCTTTGGAGTAAACACCATGCTTTCTCCAGTCATACTTAAATTCATTGTTTATTTAGAATATATCAAGTCAAGTAGGGCCAGCTGGTCCTAATTATCTTACCAGGGGTTCAGAAATGCTTCTAACTTTTTTAAGGATGAAACTATGCTGAATAATATCTTGCAAATTATCTGCTTTTGGCAGTTCCTATTATTTATGTTAGCTGCTAAGACTTTTTATATATTACACAGGAATTCTATGCCTAAGAATTGTTGCTACCAATGAATTGCAAGAATCAGACCATTGTTTAGATCCAAACTTAAATCTCACTGGCTCAGATTAACCTAATAGAGTAAATTGTTCTCCCATAGGTAGTCAGTAGCAGTTGTTTCAGAAAGACTTTGGCAAGCACAGATACCTGCCTCAGAATTCTCCACTTTTCAGAATCTCCTGAAGTGAAAATAATGTATTTATAATTTGAGTTGGAATGGAAAATCATAGTCAGAACACCTTAAAGCAATACTTGCAATTTTAAACAAGAAAGGTGGTGACTTCAGCCCTGTCTAAAAGCAGGAATTCCATGAAGTAGGTAACTAAGACTAAGTATAAAATTTTTACTCTGAACTCTCCTTATCTTAAATATTCATGTAGGATAACTGAATTTCTTAACCTTAGCTCTTAGCCATAAAACTTCATAGACACTTTCCATCCTTCATCCAGCTATGATAAATCATCAACACCAAAGATAATTTAAGAAACAAAGAGTGATATTAAGTGGCTTAAAAAGAAACTGGTTTGCAACTTCTTAAGCCTTTGCAAGTATTTCAACCCAAGCCAGTTTTCCTCTGAGTACTATCACCAGTCAATAGAAAAAGGTCTCAAATCTGCTTTAGAAATACCAGATTTCTCTAAAGCTTAAGAGCTTCAGCATAAGGGGACCAATCAAAAATTCATCCAGTATTACTTTAATCTTTGCTTTTTAATCACATATAAAAATACTGGATAAACTCCATTTTGACATTACACTCCACCCTGAGCAACACACTGGCTACCTCACAGGTTATGGGCATAATGAAGTCGCTGCAGGTGGCTGGCAGACGTCCATACCACTTCTATTGCTTAGCCACAGATAAGGCCCACACTTAAACAAACCACACATTAAAACAGCACCACAGTTGAGACCGAGTTAAGATGGACCAGTACAATCTTTTCAGGCACTCACCTTTTCAAAACAAAAAAAAACCAAAACAGCAAACACCCCAAAATACAGGAGTTAGGGCAACTAAAATTCAGTTACAACAGCTACAACTTCCACCTTCCTCAGCTTCCATCTTTCAGATTAATGAAATTAATCAGAGCCACCAATTGAGATTTAAGGGTGATTTGTAGCCAGTTTTGACTGCTTAAAGCCATCATCAATGCATTAGAGGGTAGAAGACAAACCTACTGCTGAGGTATGGAAAGGTTCTTTACTGCCCAGCAAGTCTATCTGTTCCCAATGAAAAATTTCCTTAGCAGGAAGTTTGATATCACCACCTCTCACCATATTTTAATCTGTAAGAAAGACAAGTATTTATGGAGGGTACTGTAGGTTTAGGGGGAAAAAAACCAAACAAGATTATTTAACAACCTTTCTGTGTACACAAATGACTAATGTGCTAATAGGTAGTATTGTCAGTGGTTGTAGCTAGACTCGTTTGCTAGAATAGTATCTGTTTCAATACATTCACTTTTCAATAAAAGCCAAATTTCCAAATGAGTGTAAATACTTATATTTGAAACCATAGTAACATGGTAATAATTTTTTCTTCAAAGATCAGAAAACCCCCAAACTCTGTAACAAGATTTTTCCAACATGAAATCCCACATCAGATATATTAAGTTACCTAAATGCCACCTGTTCACACTACATGCCAACAGAAGCAGCTCAGGAAGTAGGTGGGACCCTTGGAATCGGCAATACCTTTGAATTCCCCACCTTTTTTTTTTTTTAAAACAAAGAAGTCACAGAAGCCGTCTCAAAGATACCAGATTCATTCTCATAAATTGCTCCTTTAAGGTACTCTCAATAGAAAAGGTGGAACTTTAAAGCATTGCTTCAAAAGACACATTTAAACAAAAGCAGACTGAACATGTCTGTGCAAATTTAGTTCTTCCAACCATCAGTTCAGAAACATTTTCAACAGAATGTTTAAGTTAACAAATCATGTTTGTTTAGAATTAACAAATAAGTACAGCATTTTAAAACTAGCCATCTAAATAGCACGTTGAGGGCAGTATACTACATTGAGAACTTTTAAACTGTTATGAGCCAGACATTTTATATAGATTTAACACCTACCAAAGTAAATTCTGTAACAAAGTGATTTTGCATTATATGTATAACACTGATCCTTAGGCAAACAGAGACACATTAAACCAATGAATCTGAGGGCTGTGAGGAATGTTATAGCTGGTAGGAGCCTGCTACAAAATCCTTAAGGATGCATTGCTATGTTGCTGTACATCTTAATTCAGGACACAGGTGAACAGCTTGAGCAGGAAACCTTTATACCAGCCACTTTAAAGCAAGCAGACATTTCAAAGTTTTTTGGTTGCCAGAAGTTTAATCTTGCTTCACTTCACCCTTTAATTGCCTTTTCATGCGTGAATATGGGCTGATTGTGTCATCCATCACGAAGTCATACAGTACTTTTATCCAAGAGTTATATTGGGGCAGGTTGTCATAGTATTCAGCTGCTATTTTCTTCACCTGAAGGAGAGATATGAGGTTTATTTACTGGTTACATTAACATCAGTTGTGACAAATTTACAACCCTCAACGTGTAATAGCACAGGAAGTTTCATTCCAGAAGTTAGATTCCCACAGAAAATGTATGCCATTTATGCCACAATGTGAACATTCCTTGAAAGAAAAAGCAATTCCCTAGTTATTAAGTAAATCTCCTGTGGAGTTTTTGGAGCTGGCCAGAACAAACTCATCTAACTCTCCTAAGTCCCTTCACCATGCTGCCTACAGGACGATGGGAGCTCACAAAGCAAGTGGTTTGCTTGCTATTGAAAGTGTGTGACTCAGTTCAGTGCTGACTCATAGATACACAAGTAACAGTAAAAAGGATGTTTTAAGTTCTAGGAAGAGCTGTTTAACACAGCTATTTTTACATGTAGTTTCAAATCTCATTACTCAGAAAACAAAAGGCATTTTATTTCCGAGGAATATTTTGTTTCTGAAGACGGGCATCAAAGAACAAAGAGAAACTGCTTCGAAAGACACTATTCTCAGTTGTACATGTTAACTAGACCACTATTTAAACTGAGAGGTTTAAAAAACCTCCCAAAAGCAGGTTCAGTTAGGTGCCCATACTGCTATTTAGGGCCAACCACTTAAAGCCTTAAAAACATGAACGGAACAAAAAGGATTTTTCACAAAATTCCATAGCTTTAGTCCGAAGAACAGTACCAATCTGTATAAGCAACAAATTCAAGGTATTACACGGCTGGTTTGAAGGCACAGCTTGCTTTGACCCATCATCACACCTATAGGATAGTGCAATGTACTTTTACTCAACAGTATTAACTCTCAGCTCAGCAGTGCTGAGGAATCGAGTGTTCAGTACTTAGGGATCTTTAGCACACAGCACAGCAGAGTCCAATCCAAACAAATTAACTGCACTGTTCCAAAAGAAGGCTTTGTTTTCTTATCAGAGCTGTGGAAAACGAGTCCGGCAGCAGAACTGGGTATCTACTCCTAGAATTAAATATTTGGAAAGATTCATGCCCTACTTATAGCTAAAGTACCTGTCCAAGAAGTAAAATGCTGGTTCACAGCACACACCCAAGTATCAAAGGGGAGTTAACGCAACTTTTGCTGTATTTGAAAGATTTAAATCTATGAATAAAAGCAATTATCTATCTTAAAAAAACAAACAAACAAACAAACAAACCCCCCAAAACAAAAAAACGCAAACCAAACCAAAAAGAAAACCACAAAGCCTCAACAAACCAACTTCATGATCTACCTGCCCTGCTAAAAGTGCTGGCAGTTATTTCAGCTGCAGTCCCACCACTGATAACAGAATTACCAATCAAGTTTAGACCTCACCAGAGGTATGATCTGACAAGGTCTCACTATTGCCAAAGGCAATAACAAAGCTGCAAGACCAACAGCTGCTGTCAAATTGCAAATTTAATGTCTGATGAAAAACTGAAGAGTCAGATGTAACCCTAAAGCCTGTGTTCCCATGCTTCAATTGGGAAGCACAGATACAGTGAGACAGAAGCTCCTGTCTGTAAGAAGCAAAGGTTGAAGTGAGGAGAAACGTCACCTGTGCTACTCATGCAGGCATAACAGGTCTAAGTCCTGGTTTAGAACTCCTAATTCTGCCTGTCCTACACTGCCAGTGTACATCTGATACTTATTTAGGGTTCAAAGGCTCTTGCTAGAGAAACTGAACTGCTCCAGAGTAGAGAAGTAATTAAACATTTGTCAACAGTATAACAAACATTAACAGTACCTCAAACCCTTTCTTTTCCCCCACCAGAGGATGTCCCTGATAGAAGAGACTGAAGGATACACACACATTACAATACTGCCCTTAACATTTCAATGACAGAGATAACAAATCTCCAGAGTTGCCTGCAACCTCTTAACTAGTTCTCTGCATACTTACAAACAAGAATTCAGAAGACAGGTTGTAATTACAGAAAGCTAAAGTTAGTGCAAAGCATAAGACATGCGTTCCCTCCCCTCTCCTTTTATGGAAGAGGACTGAGCAGCAGCAAACTGGAAGCTTGTTCAGGGTACCACTAAAATGCTGAATAATTAACTCCTTCATCACTCAGCTTCTATTTTGGGAATTTTTTTGTTTTTGATCTCCCAAATTCCATTCTTCTGTCAGTATTCTGCCTGGTTTTCTTGTTAAAGAAGGCCTTAATTTAAGAAAAAGTAATAACCTTAGAAGTCAACTTACCAGTGGAAGGCTCTTGCCAGGAATATTTGGGAAGTCATGATGTTCATTGTGATAGCCAACATTAAAAGTGAGCAAATTAAGTGGCCCATAGTAGGAATAGGTCTCATGTCCTTTTAAAAACATGTAATGTTCAGCTATGAAGTGTCCCGAAATTGGGTGCAACCCAAGACCAAGTACTGAACCAGCAAGCATGTAGAAAATGGATTTGACTCCCCATAAATAATATATCACCACATCAAAGATGAGCTGAGCCAATAAATTGATTATTTCAAGTCGAGTAATGGGTTTAGGATTGATGCAAAGAGGTCTAATGGCATAGAAGAAAGGCTGAAGAACAATCCATATGAACTTCCTAAACGGGGTGCAGAAAAACCAGCCCTCGAAGTTGGTGGGAATATCCACATCGATGCCGTCACCGCCTAGGTAACGATGGTGATCCATGTGGTATCTCTTGAAGGATATGGAGTAGGGGAGACCAAGAGGGAGGTTGGCAAATATTCCAAACCATCGATTCCACATGGCTTTGCTGTTGCCAAAGGCACTGTTGTGGGAGATCTCGTGAATAGCCAGAGTCATGGAATGGCTAATACAGCTTCCAAAAACGTAAGCCCAGAAGACCACCCATTTCCAGTCCAAGTCTTTAACCAGATAGAATGCAGTCAACTGCGCCAGAACCATCAGCACAACCACCCAGATCAGGTTGTAGTCTGGCTTCATCAATGCTTTTATCTCTGGATGTTTAGCTAGATGGGAAAAAATTAAATTAAAAAGAAGTTATTTCAAAGCCCTCCTCACAGCTAACTATCCCAATTAGATTACGTTTTTTTTTTCCTTTTGTCCCAATTAGGAGTTGTCTGCAAAAGTAATAAAAACGCGTGACCTTTCCACTTGTGATATTTACTGCTATAATAAATCATTTGGAATCAAGTCATTTTAGCACTTTTACGTTGCTCAGCAACTAGACACGTACATGGCAAGCACCAGTACCACATCCAGCCTTCTCAGGAAGGGAATGGCTCTGAGCCGACAACCCATCCGTAATTCAGACGGGCTCGAGAAGGCTCAGCCCCGGTTCTAGCGCCGCGCTCGACGCCGTTATCCGCCACCCCGGGCGCGGGTGCCGCGGTGACCTCTGCGCACAGCGGCCCCAGACACGACACCGCCTCATCGCCCGTCCCGCGGGCAGGGGAGCGGCCCGGGGCCGCCGGGGAGCCCGGGCTCCGCTCCGCCGCTCGGGATGGCAGCCCGGGCCGCCGCCGCCGCCCCGCGCCTCGGGCTCGGCCCCCCGCCTCCTTCCCCTGCTCCTTCCCTTCCCCTCCCCCGCCAGCGCCGCCAAGGCGGCGGCTCTCGCCTCCACGTACGCGGGCCCGGCCCGACTCCGGCCGCCCCGCCGGGAGCCTGGGGGGGCCCCGCCGGCCCCCGCCAAGGGCGGCCATCTTGTGGGGTGTCCGTGTGCCTCCCCCCCGCTCCGCCACGGCAAAAAGCGGCGGCACCGCGGCGCCTCACCCAGGATCTCCTTGCGGCGGTCGGCGTGGGGCTGGTCCGTGTAGACCCATTCGAAATCCTCTCTAGCCACAGTATTCCCCATGGCGACAGCAAAAAAACCCCTGCCCGGCTTCCCGCCCGCTGCGCGGAGCCCCCGGTACCACGCTTTATAGCGCGGCGGAGGCGGCCCGGGGCCACGCCCCCGCCCCGCCCTCGCCGCCCATTGGCCGCCGCCGGCTGCCGAGCGCGCTCCCGCCGCGAAGGCGCCCCCTGCCGGCGGGGCGGGGCGGCCCGCAGGGGAAGGAGGAGCCCTCGGACTCCGCAGAGCCCTCAGGGCCCGCAGAACCCTCAGAACCCTCGGAGCCCGCAGAGCCCTCAGAGCCCTCGGAGTCCGCAGAGCTCTCCGTGCCCGCCGAGCGGGGCCGCGGGAACGGCGATGCGGGCTCCTAAAGCCGCGTTCCCGTAAGCTGCTGTCCTGGTGTGACCCCGTGCTTACAGACCCCTGCCCAACGCTACTGAACTCCAGCTCCAAACGCCTGCAGCAAAGTCTCCGCTTCCTTCCCTTTTTGTGGAAAGATATTTGAAGAACTTCTTTGACAAACTCCTCTGTAAGAACTTCATTTTATCTGTCACTGCATGTATTTGTCACAAAACACAGACTGTGGGCAGTTCAGTGAGAAAGATTACCTTATGTAGAAACTGAATTATTACTTGCCTGGAATTTTAGTTGTCCACTCATAATAATCTTAATCAGTAGATCAAAAAATCCACTCAAATGAATCTAAATCAGCAGTAGTGATAAAAACAATGGAGGCTATTATCACAAAGTAAATTATACCTTATCTCTTCATGTAGTATTGGTATCTCAAGGTTATGATTAATCACTTAAAATTTATTAGCAATAATGGGTACAAAAGGCTTATGCCTACAAGCTGCTGGAAGCCCCATGTGCAACAGGGCTATTGGAGGGGAAATTCAATCCCTACCTGGAAATGTTTGCAATGTGCAGTAGTGGACAAAGCACAGGATCATAAAACATAACACTTTTGTGAATAGTTTGGTTTACATGCATTTTAATTAGTGCACATTAGGGTGGGATTTTGAAGTGAAAAGTGCAGCCAGGAGCTGAAACACAGAAAAGGTTTTGCTCAGCCTTTTCCTCCTCAGTCACAGAATTAGAATTCTGCAGTGTGAAGACTGGTGCAGCGTAAGAGGCAAAGCAGATGTCTAGATTTCATCGAGGCACTGTGACCTTGCCAGGTTTACTTTTTGCTCAGTGACCATTTCACAATAAAACAGGAATCTTTGGGGCTGCCAGTGCAGCAGCTGGCTGCAGAATTGCCGGGGTCACAAGTGTTTCCCTCAGCAGCACTCCAAACACCACATGTACCATTTCTGACAGTGTTCCCCTCTGGCTGGAGTCCAAATACTAGCACTGCTATCCATCTTTGTGCTGAAGACCTCCTCATCCATGAGAAGGATCCTGCCAAGAGGAGGAGTGTGGCAGCCAGTGACAGGAGCACTGGAGGAGTGACAGCACATCAGGAGTTCGGTACACAGAGGCAGGTTTACAGCACTACAAACATATATAAACTTGTAAATGGCACTGATTTCAGTAAGGCAATTAAACAGAAGATCCTAGGTTTATAAACTAAACATTCCAGAGCAGTTAAACAAGGTTTAAGCATCTAAAAATATATATATTTCAAATAGGAAGCTTTGTAAAATTCAATTGCCCAATTGTACTGGAGAGCAAAGTGCCTTTCCTATGTAATCATTGCATTTAATCAGTCTGGTTTAAGCAGTCTGGGTAACAAATCCAGATTTATTAGGTCTTCAGCAAGCCAACAGTTTTTGTATCTGATGTTTTTCTTTCCAGAGACAGGGAGATCCAGTACCTACTGTACCTATTGTGTCTTCAGCTGGCACAAAGCTTGAACAAAACTCCCAGAATGTTCACTTAGGTGTAAACCAAAGCCAGGACTGCATCCTTAGAACTGGGAAGGTGAAATGCAGAAAGGAGAACTGCAAGAATGGAGAGCACATGGACAAGCGAGCTGGCCCAGGTACAGTGCAAAGTAGTGCAGAAATGCAACTGGAGTTGAACAGAAGAGTTCACAACTAGCAGACATGTTGCTGTAGAATAGGCCAAACTGAATTTACTTATTCATGAAGTAACAATTTATCACTGTAATTTGCGAGTTACCCTCTTAAAACCATCAGGAACACCAAGGAATCAGAATCCAGTGCTGAGACACATTGCACTATATCCTACATCATCCTATTTTCAAGAGGCTCTTGAAACTAAGAGCAACTAAGTTTCTGTTCAATTCTGTCTTGCCTTTTACCTTAAGAAGTTACACGCAGGCATCCTTTGCAGCGTTAATGGATTTGGTGATTAACGTGCAATGCTGAGTATCAGGAACTGACGAAATTCCATTTGTTTCCATCTGTTCTTTAATCTGTGAAATTCATCTTGTTAAGCAGGTAGTCTTTCTTCCTTCAGCACTTCCACCTGTTACATCCCTTAGCCCAGGTTTGGAGGGTCCTTACATACTGCATAGAAGCTGCTCAATTTGGGAAGACCTTGTTGCAAACAGCTTTTCCCTCAAATAAGTACCATGATGGTATCTTTTGATCTCATTTTCATCATGTTCACTAAGTACACAAACTTGCAAAAAACCCCCAACCTTACTAAGAAACAAAAAGCAGTTTCTAAGCAAGTGCTATTTTTAGAAAATCAGTAAAGCTGGCCTCAGTAGTTTTAAGAAACTAAATACAAGACACTTAAAATTGCTTTCCCTGTCAGCTCTGACCTTTCTTTCCGTTTCAGTCCTTGATACAAATACGAAAACTGAACAGCGGCTGAAAGTAAATCAAATTTTCATGTAATTTTGCAAACTACATCTCAGTCTCACTGGTTTAAGGTTCTCCCTTGAACAGATGATACAATCACTAATCACTACCACCACTACTTCAAGGCTGATACACCAACTCACATAAATGTGCACAGGCAATGAGAGCAAAGAGAAATTTAGTTTTACTTTGGGTGATTCATCAGCTTGTTCATATATTGCAAAATTCATCCTTTTTATTTAACAAGGGACAAAATGGTGGCAGAAATTAATGTTCCAGCTATTTTGCCCAAACATTACTTCATTCTGTTTTTACCATGTGTATATTTTTCTGGTGTCCATTCCAGCCAAGAGCCATCTGACGTTTCCCTCTCGGGGATGTGAAATAGAAAACACCGGTGTACGTTTATAGGGAATTACCCAAAGCTGCCTTGTAATCATCCCCTCTGCCCCTTAAGTTTCACTGGCCTCATTCCATTTCATCACTGTCAGCACATGGAAGAGCAGGATGCACCTGCAATCCTGGAGCACATGATACTTCCTTGAGCTGAAGGTTCCAAGTTGGCAATGTTCCCAGAGAACATTTCCCGTAACAACTGCCTGTTGTTTCCCAGCTCAGTCTATGCACAGCCAGAGATTCCCCAACACATCCAGAATTGCTACTCTGCAGTAACCTGAAGCTAAAGTGAAAAATACTCAAAATGTATGAATAAATCTTTTCAGTAAATGCAATTCACAAGTTTATACTTGTTTGGAAGTATTTAACCACAAGTAGCTGTTAATTAGTCCATTACAGGATTTTTTTATCACAAATAACCATTCAATGAATTTGTATCACATACGAATTCTAGCTATCATGCTGACCCTTTGACTCAAAATTTTCATTTGAAAGTTCAGGTACATGCCAGTATTTCTAAGCTGAATAGCAGGTATCTATCTCCAAGACAGACTTACCTGTAAAAAACTTTCAGAGCTGTAGAAAACCAGTACAAGCAAATGCTCCTTCAACAGATTAAGTCTGCTCTCAGACAGCCTTTTATCATTTCCTTGATGCTTAAGAAAAATGCCTTTTTTTTGGAAAAGACTCAAACTACTCGAGAAGTTTATTTGAAAGCTAAATGTCTGTCAAATATGAGGCATTTGCAATGTTACGTCCGGTACAAGCTATGTTTTAGAAGTAAAAATTGTAGCTGAGCTTTCAGGAAAAATGGCAGTTTCCCACAATTACATAACATCTGACCAGACAAGTTCTGATTTGTTTGGTGCTTTAAATACAGCCACTAGGTTATGCTTACAGCCATATAAAATGAACTTGCACTTTAACCCACAGCAGTAATATCAAGATTGTGAACAGCTACAAATGCAGCATTTGCAATTTCAGTGCCATACCAAGTTGAATTCAGAACCACCTAAAGACAAAGGAGCAGATGGTTAAAAAAGAAAACATAAGTCAAATTATAAAGCTACATAGTTTAGTACATTAAAACAAAACCAAGGACAATGGTATTTGTATAAGATTCCAAAAATATACAGATGGTGGGGGGGAATAATCACTGTACACAGCTCTGAGGTGGTTAAAGTGACCAGAGAGACTGAACAGTGCAAGACATGCTTTTCCAGTTATAAGCTCAAAACAGAAGTGCAAAAGAAATTAAAGCTCTGAAGTGATTTACCTTTTCAGTGAAGTCTGAAGTGATTTATCTTTTAGGATAAGGAAAGCTTAGAGTATTGTCATCAGTGTTACAGAGAAATTTCCACCCTAACCCCAACACAGACACACAAAATAGTTTAAGTTTTCCCATAATACAGCATTTCACTCAAATGATGCTCCGAGAGCTTGGTGACTCCAGGGACAATTTGTAGGTGTTGGCCTATGACCCAAGTGATGCATAGGCAGCCTCTCCATTCTCCAGCTTTGGCTAACAATAAATCCCTGCCTTCCAGGCAGGGTGAGTGGCCACACAGCCCAGGCTCAAACGCTCCTGCTGCTGGCCTCCCCAGACCACCTCGCTGCAAGGAAGTCACTGTGCTGAAAGCAGAGACTGAGTCATGGCTGAGGAACAAAGGAATTGCTTGACAGATCTCTGTGCTCTCTCCCAGAGTTTGGAACAGTTTCAGGCAAGTGCTTTTGGCAGGCTGACAAAGCTGTACATGCATCTATCCATGCAAATGTAGAATATGGCTCCCAAGACCTAGAACCAGAGTGTGTGCATGTGAAGACTGGATAGAAGGCCCTTCCATGGAAGTTTACAAAAATATATAGCCAATACTGTAGCTTAAGAAGTCAGTTTTACTCATTACAGAGAACCCCAAAAAGTATTAACTACTTTTCAGACATTCCAGACAAGGTCACTTGTAACAAAAAAGGTCAAGTTCTCAAAAACAAGGTTTTAAAAGCGGATCTTTCCTTCAAGTGAGCAGGACATCTGTTTTTACTCTTAACCATTTAGTCAGTTAAGACAATTTATTTAAGATTTCATGTGAACATATGCATAAACACAAATAAGTTTACTTTAAAACACATCTGCACGGAAAAAAAAGGTTAACCCCTCAAAACATAACAGAGCAGGTCTGGTTAGTATGTAGCTATTGCAAATCTTAAAGATTCTGTGCATTAGGCCCACCCATATAGAAAGCAGGGGAAAAGTCACTGAAAGAAAATTACTGTTCAAGTCTAAGTGGTGTTTTGAAGAGCCAGCAGCCTAAGTGACACCATGAAGCTGGTCACAGTATCCAAACACGCAGGGCTGCTCAGGCTACTAGAGCAGTGTATCCTCCTGAAGGCGCCATTTCCTCCCCAGTTATTTTCTGTTCCGAAGGCGTTTAGATTTCCTAGGACAGTCTGTGGAATCCACCGCCTTCCTCCGTTTCCGTGGAGATTGTTCATTTGAGCCGGAACCTGAGGAATTGCCTACTGTGCTCTCCATCACCTCTCGCAGCTTGCGCTCCAGCTCGGCCAAGCGGGCGTTCTGCTCCCCAATGATTTGGGTTTGCTCAAGCAGTTTCTGGTCTTGATCCTGGAGCTGCTTCTGCTGCTCCTGCACTTTGACGCGCAGCTCCGAGATCTCCCGCTTCAGCGCCGTCAGGCCCGTGCCGTTGGCTTTCACCTGCTGCTGCAGCTTGGTGACTTCCTGCCTGGAAGGGCTCTGCTTGGAGAACAGCTGCATTGTTGTCAGTGCTGCAGAAGGCCCTGGAACTTCAGAGAGAACCGTGATTAATACTCTGCATCTTACGGGTAGAAACAGTGTCCCAGTGTTCATGTTTTGCTTATCCCTACTCCCCACACATGAATCTGAATACCCATCTCAAGTTATGTGAACAGGTAAACAGATTTACAGTCACTTAAGTGTCTAACAAGAACGTGTGGTAATCTCAGAGCACGACCAGTTTAATTTAAAATACTTACAGCTTTTCAGTAGTCTGGAAAAAAGCTCATAATTCAATTTCTGTATATAAGCCCCCCTCCTTTTGCTCTATCAAAAACTGTAGAACTACTGTGTTGTTATCTAGACTTAGTGTCACAGATGTTAAGACAAAACCCCACAAAGCATCTATAAATTAATTATCATGGGATAGTTAAGGCTGAATTAATCTTTCATTAGACCAGCAAAATTCCTCTGTCTTAGTTGCAGACAGCTAAAGTTCTAAAAATTTGTAGTTTGGAATTTAACAAGGTATTTCAGTATAACTTACATTTTAGAAGAAAGGAATTTATTTTCCATGCTTCTTTAGAATCACTCCTCCTAAGCACTAAAACCATACTGGAATCTGAGCTTGGAACTGTTGATTCTAATAAAGTTCCTGCAAATCAAGGAGACTAACAGCTACTGTATAATTTCTTTCACTTTTTCTGCCATAAAAGATATCTATCAGTTTTGCTGTCATTATACTCTTCTAGCAATGCTGTGCAAGCAAGGTGCAACTTTTAAGTGCTCTACAGTAAGAGGAGTCTGAGCAGCCATCATCCTTTTTTCCTGTCAGGATGCCAGCACAGCTACCATTATGTGACACTAAGGGGTTGCTATTGGAGAGGTTATGCCTTCTCTCAACAAGAGAGAAGCATTTTATGCACCACAAAGCCTTGGCTTTGAAAAGTGGATTGACATCAACTGTGGGTTTGGGCAATACTTCCTCAGGTGAGAGGCTCAGTATATATTAATACATATAATTAAAAGAAAAATTTAAACCCATATATAATTTTTTAAAAGGTATGTAATCAAAAAAATGAAAGTATAACTAACAGGATATAATTAAAAGGCGGCATACACACTTATGGCTAAAAGGATGGACAGGACATACAAGAATAAAAAGCATCTGCAGTTAGGCCTATTGTTTTTGCTTAAGATGTAACTTTTCCCCAATTTTCACTAAGTTATTCTTCTAGAGAGTTAAATTTCACAGTTCCTAAAGTGTGAACACGTCCTGTACAGGGAAAACTCTATAATTTTACCAATCTTTTGCCTTTTGCCATTAGGATCACTTCGGCCATGAGGCAACTACCTTAGAGTTCAAAAAAGTTCTGGAAAGTCTGACAAGGGTATGGTATACAAAGGACCAGTTTAATGGCTTATTTATAGATTATTTTAATTGTCTTTTTGCGACTACCTGTAACTATTTTGCTTGTTAGTGCATAAAACAGTACCCCCAGTAAAGTAAAAAAAGCCCATTCTAGCCCTCTATGTACTACTATGGCTTAGGCAAATTCATCTGCAGCTTGTCCTAAAAATAAAAGGCATCAAGTTGTTCATCTCATGTGCCAAATTTCAACCAAATGCAGTGAAAGTCTCATTCATTGGTGGCACAAAAGCATTTGTTTAACGAATACACACTATGCATAACTCTAACATGCATTCAAGTGACTGTTCTTTTGGTAGTACAAAGGCTCCTTAAATTTCAAAGCAAATGAATTTCAGTTAGCATTCTCAAGAAACAAATATTATCAATATTTATGTAATAAAGCTCCCATTTAAGGGAGGGAGCTATGAAAACATACAGTGTTGTTGACTTTTTAAAGAAAAACTAAATAAAACTTAACTATATGTTGGAATTAATACCTGGGGCAGTTCCTATTAGACGTCCCGATACATCTGACCCAGGCATCTTTCTTTTCAGTATTGGAACAATCTTCTCATCAAAATATTCCATAGCCATGGAGGAAATGTCCCTTAGTTCTTGAAGAACTTCATGAGCTCTCTGAGGAGCTCTTGTAGAGTTTACATATCTTAGCACTCGATAAATTTCATCTATTACCTAAAACATTTAAGAAGAATTAGGATTTTCTGATAAAGGCAAGATTATTTCAGTTTGTTCTAGGAATTCTGGCACACTCTGGGGTTTTTACCACATAATATAGTTGCACACTACTGTGTGTTTTAGTTCCAGATCAGCTTTTTGAAGTGCTGTTCATGATACATATCAGAGAAGCTATTAATTTAATCTATCACAACAGCTCTCTTCAAAGTCATGAAATAATGCTCATTGGGTAAAATCTGAAGTACAGCCGTAGCTGGCTTGCAAGTTACATAATCTGTACTCAGCAGAGCATGATTATTTCCTTCAGGAGAACCTGAAGCAAGAAGCCCCAAAGCAGAGCAGTCACTACCCCTGCCAGTTATGAAATAGAATTGGAATAACAAGAATTAGCATTATGTCAGCCTGAAGAGCTGTAAATATTTACTTGCATCCACTTCCATACACACAAAATATTGCAAATTCAGGTGAAGTCCAAAATATATTCATTTACAAGACATCAATCCACTACTGACAGAGAACAAAATCCTCTTGAAAAGTTTGGAAAACAAAGCCCTTTGGTTAGGAGAGATACAGAGAGATGAAGGGTGTCTCACTAATTTATGAATTTAAGTCTGAGGCAGGTCAAGATAGGAGTGCTGGTCTCTTAGCCAAAGCTACACAGGTATTTTGCACAGAATTAAGAATGAAGAGTTTCCTGAAGAAAACATGATAAGGACCTTGTAATACAGTTGCACCCTCTGTTCTGATAAAGGGAGCTTAGATAAAAAGTCCCAAAAGCTAGACAAGACGCAAGTTTCTCACTGAGCAACAAACAACAAAAGACTTCTCCAATTTCATCCACTTTATATCCTGTTAGCAACAACATCCTCAAAATAAAACCTTGCAGCAGTACTCTGCTATCACACAAAATGCTGAACCTCAAACCACGATTAGCATATTCTAACACAAATTCACTCCTGGCAGTTCTGTGGTGAAATTTCCTGAGAGAAGCAAAGCAGGTGGGAGGGAAATCACAGACTGTAAGTGAACACTAAGCCTTGAATCTGATTGACCAAAATATTAATTAATGGGTGAACTGGTAACTGTGCTGAGAGAGCAGCAGTGCTAGCAAACTCACACACTAAGTAAATCATTTTTTTTAAAAAAAACCACCCACCACAAACTTTTTAGCAATTGTATCAAAATAAAATCAAGGTCCTTAGGAGTTGGTGCCTACAAGGAAAAGCAAGCTCACCTGCCCAACTCCTGCACACCCCTGGTCTAGGGTAAGTACTGCCTTTCCCTCTACTCTTCAAAACATTAGGGCAACATTTTTTTTAAGTATCCCATTCACCATGTATCAGGGACTTAAGTTCATTTGACTTCATTATATTAATTTTTTAAAAATATATGGTATATAAAAATATCAAGTCAAATAAGAATATAATTTAAAATGAATTAAATATCAAGTCAACAAGAGTGTACAGAAATAGTTACTTCTTCAAGATAAGAATACATTCCATGCCCACAGTTTATCCTACCACTGGATGTGTACATGCCTACACGCTTCCCCAGAATCCAAGAGATAAGTTTCCCATTCATCTCACTGCAATTCAGTTCTCTGCCCACAAAAAAGTAACACCAACGTATCCAAACCTTACATGGAAAGATCAATGAATAGAGCATTAGGATAATGTTCACTGATCTCATTTAATCCCTGAGCTGTACCAGTCTTCCTCTGAGCACGATTTTGTCAATTCCCCTGTGGACCGGTGATTTCACAGCTTATAAAACATCAGTATCTCCAATGTACATCTTGCCTGCATAATTCATATTTAATGCTGGGCTGGTATTCTAAAACACCAGAACTGCTCACTAATGTCCCCATTTAACACACTTTACATTTTAAACTAATTCCACCTACTGTACAAAAATATACCATCCACTGTAATACTGAACAGTGTTTTGACATACTAAATACCTTAATTCAATTAACCTGAAGTGCTCAAACCCTTAAGAAAGGTGCCTAAAATCTTGATTCACTGAGTGCTTAATGTTATGTGTTGTCTAAATTACTACATCTTCAAATGGCCTGATCACATGTTTTTTTCTAAAAGGTAGTAGAGGATGAGTACACCACAAGTCGAACATCAGAATCAAGAGAGAATCTAAGGGCAAATAGAAATCTAATTTAAAATAATTAGTATTTAAATACAGCCTGGTTTATTCACTTCAGAATACCTGGTTAAACAGAGTATGAGCTTGTAGGTTTGTTTGCAAGTATATATATATATACACAATATTAATTTTTCCCCAGCTGTGACAGGTTAAGTTACACAATCCTATTTTTTTAAACACAGATACATATTCACATAATATAGTCTACATTTTACCTTTCCAGGTATGAAGCAACAGAGATTGGAATCCACATACTTCATGAAAGTCATATTTAAGAGAGAGAGTCTCGTTTCTACAGCAGCGAGGATGTCTGCATGGCGAGCTAATGAATGGTTTCTCCTTTCTGACTCTCGTCTGGAAAACAGACCACAAGGTGACACTGATTTAACAAGGAGTCCAAAAATCAAACTGTAACATTTGTCAAGTTAATTTCACCCTTGAAGCCCTGTAGCCACTAACATCTGTCTTCATGGAAATAAAAGATACTGAGACCCAGCTAGTACAGCATACTATACTTTCTTAGACAAAATTTGTTCTCTAAATAATGATTATGCCTTATGTGCTCCATACATTTTGTACATAATTTAGGACTATTTAAGAACAAGGCTGCAGTACTAACTAACAGCAGACACTGAGTCAGAGTGAATATTTTTATCCTGCTCACTCATATGGTCAGTACTTCAATGCAGTTGAAATAAAAAATGTAATATATTAGTAGGGAAGTTTACGTAGTGAAGAACTACTATGAAGTTTAGGTTGAGATAGAAATGCTTTCTGACAAAGGGTGTCTATGCTAAGTAGCATTTTGTTTCCTCACTCTGGCTGGGAAATCTGATAGGACACAGCAGCAGCTGCATTTATTCACTGGAAAGAGGAAGAAAGACATTGATTTAGTGAGAAACCAGTTTCCAGTAATGCTCACATATCAAATCTCTCTTCCTTGTTCTCGTTTACTCCTTGCCAGTGAAAAAACCTTGCCCTTTTTTTAAAGTAGAGTCTTTGATAAATCATCAGTGAAGGCAGTTGATCTTGAAAAGGAATGGCATTTATTAATTCCCAGGAATCCTCACTTGATATGCCAGAAGAGTTGAGTAATACAGAACCCAGACTTCTCCGTTTGAAATACCAAACACTCTTTTCACACCATTATTCAGTAATTAAATCTTAGGTTCAAGGCGCTTTTAGGAAAAAAAAAATGAAATAAAGGTAAACGTGACTCAAATTTTCAAGATATCTAAGAGGAATTAGCCAGAAAGGAATTCCTTTTCAATAATCTGCTTAAATTAATCTAACACAATTAAATTTAATTCCAGTTTTAACTGGTACATACCTTGGAAGTTGAGCTTTGACTTGCTTTTGACACAAGTTGTGGTATCTTTCCACTTTCAGAAATCCCTGATTTAACATCCTCTGGCAAACCAAGTCCATTCGTTTACAAACCTGTATTTAAGTAAAAAGAAATCTTAAGGCTCAATTAAGGCCACAAGTCACTTTTACTATTATCTTATCCCTACTACTTGCCAGGTAGAAAAATATTATCTTACTGTTTTTTGCTCCGTTTCAACCAGCAAGAACTGCAGTTGACATTAAGGCATCCCCATCTCCACCAAAGACCACAGTACACCAAAAAGGAGCAGCTATGTTTCACACAGCTCACAAATAAATCTATTGGTTTTGCCTAACAAGAGACAGTAGGCTGAATGCCACCTATTAGAAGCAAATACCATTTCCTCTGATTTTAATGGAAGTTGCAAATGCCCATGTCTGGCCTTTAACATGGTCTCCAGAGTGATTCTGGTAGATGAAATTAGTATTTTGTAGTCTCAAAAATAGAAACCTTTAAAGACAAGAAATCATGGTGGTTTTCTTCCAGTGTTTAAGGCTTGTTTTTGAAGTCAACCACAATTAGATTTAAAAACACATGGAAAATATTGCACATGGAACAAGGTTCTCCTTTTTGTATAGAAAGGTCTTTTCTCCTCTGTTTAAAGGAATCCTTTATTTCCTGTGTTGGAAACTGACAGACTCAGGGTTTTTTTGCCCCACATATTTAGGAAGAAGGTACATGAAGAGCTGCAGAAGATATAATAAACTACTAAAGTCAAACCTTCACAAAGTTACCAGTTACAGGACAAAGCCAACTCATACAAAAGTTTAAAGCAATTGCTATTCAGGTCTGAAGATGCAAGAGCCTAGTGACCTAACTGTTCTTTGAAATTGTTTTGGTTTTGTTGGGTTTTTTAGGCACTGAAGTTCACAGCTCCCACTGTGACTTCACTTGCCAATAAATACGCTTTTTTTTTTTTTTTAATAAGCACTCCTTTCCTCCATACACTCCTCATTTCATAACTTTAAAGTCTATGTAAGTTTATACCCTGAGGAAGAAGATTCTCTCCTCTCTCAGAGAAACCTGCAATTACTTTGTGCAATGCCTTCTGTATAAAAAGAAAGAAGTTCTGCTCTGTGTGTCACAGCTGGTTGAAGATGTGTGAGAACTGACCACTTTCAGACAGATCTGTATGGACAGGCCATTAAGCACTGACAGGATCGGTGCTCCTCAGCATTAGATTTTTCTGGTTAACAAAGAAGGATCAGACAGGAAAACTGCAGCGGGAGAGTCTCAGCACACTCTGCCCCACATTCAGTGATCCAGTTAAATCATCTCCTTTGTATAAGGAAAAATGCTGGCCCTTCCTACAGGAAGGAGGAAATCGTTCATTCTTCCCTGAGCTTGCAGCTCCAGGGGCGCAGAGGCTGCAATCCTTTCTGAGTCCAAGGCTCTGCCGCTTTCTGGCAGCTCTGGCGGTCCCGGACCCCTGAAGCAGGACCGGTACCAGCCCTGCAGGCAGCGGGCACAGGAGGAAAAGCGCGGCAGCCCCGCAGAGGCCGGAGGCGGCAGGAGCGCTGTGACCCCGCGCACAGTGACACCTGCCGGCACAGCCGCCCTCCCAGCCACGGCAGCCCAGGGCTCTGCATCTTCCTCCCTTGATTACCCTAAACAGCAGAGAGAATTATTTGCTCCAATTTCTCGACATTACCCATATTTAGCCAGTAATCAGTCTAGAACCCAAACCCTGGTAACACCAGAAATCAAAAGCGTTTGCAACTTATTTTACCAATCAGCTCCTAATTCTCAGCTGGTTCACCATGTGAACCATATAGCATCTGGATTTATAGGAACAATATGCCTCCTCCAGACTGCACAGTCAGCCATATGCAAAGTAGCATCATTACACTTTTAGGTGTCCATAGCAGACTAAGACAGTTTGGTATTAGCTACTCGACAGATCATAAGTTGAATTTTCTTATCCTTGTATTTGCAATTTTGGTGAATATTTTCTTATTTTAGTCACAGAACTGAAAGAGGCTGTGTTTCCTCAAAGGTCAAGTCCAACCAGACCCTATGTTCAAGTTTCAGGGTTAGAAAGGTATTCCAAGTCCATGTAAAAAAGCAGAAAGAGAGGTTGCTTCTTCATGTGCTGACTTATGTGTGATAACAGCTTTCTATGATCCTATAAACTCATTTTCCACTTCATTTGTAAAGAAACCAACACAATCTACTAACTTCTTTTTCCTCAAGCATGTCTTATTTCTTCCAAGCTTCCCTACCAGATAACCGACTCCAAAACTAATATAAAATATCCTAGAGGATTTAGATTCAATAGACGTTGTTTTTCTTAAGAAGGTACACTGACACCATGTTCCATAAAACGCCTTTTTTAGGGTAAAGTAAGTGGCAAAATGCTTATAACTTCATCAAGAAACTTTAAAATAAAAATGCCTGTAAATAGAGACTGGCTGAAACTAGGAACATTAAAGCCATGCTATCATGCAAAGGCTATCAGTCCTTACTTGTGCTGTGCAGGAAATAAACACAAGTTTGCTGCAGAATGTGAGTAATTCTGACATGTGTCAGAACACAAGACAACCTTCTTAGAGTGTTCATGGAAGGAGGCTGTGGATTGTGTGATTTTAATCATGCTTGTTGTAGTAATAGCCTGAATGGAAGTGCCTTTCCAAGCTCAGACATGTGACTGAAAAAGAAACTGGAATTTAAGAATTTCAGTATTATCTGAGGCAAAAATTTCAAATCTTCTGCAAATCACTAAAAATATCCCAGTATAAGGAGCCTTCAAAAGCTGGAAGATAGTGAGCTTCCCTGTCAGCATGCACAGAGCATTACAGCTTCAGACACTGGGATCTTTGGGGTTTTCTGTGTTTCTCTCATGGGGATCATCAGAGGAAGCAGATGAAGAAAATACTCAAAAGGGCTGAAAGCAAAATGCTGCTGCTTTTCCTCTCATTCATTTTGTCAGAACAAAAGTCTGAGGGCTCAAGATTTCCCTCATTTCAGACATGACTACTCTCTGAATACCTATTGTTTAGTCTCTGTTCCTTGGAACTACTTCACTGCTTAACCAGTAGGTGCTTCATTTATGCTTTTGCAGGCAGTAACCCCAGGAACAGCAGAGAGCATTATGCTCAGGAAAGCGAGGGCTTTTTGCACAATGAGGGGCCCATGGTCTTGCCTTGCCTGATGGCAATCATCACAAGCAGGAAATGTTCTTTACCTCATCCTTCGGTCACAGAAAAAGACTTCTGGATCTTATGCCTGAGATTATGCTCCTCATTATGCTCTATACAAACAATGCTCCTATCTCCATTTCAATCTGAGAACATTCTGGTGTTCTATATCCTCCCACCCAGCCAACTCCTCAGTCTGTTGTCTTGTACACACTGTAGATCCAAAGCCAGTTCAACTCAGAGAATTTATTTTTCTTTTTTTTAATGGATCACTGAGCTAAGGTGATCCAAAATGAAAAGCACATTAGGACATCCGTTCCTTCCATACTGGGATCCAGAGAATGCATCAAAATTATTTGTTTAGGGAATCCACACTTTCTTATCTCAACACGTATGATCAAACTTTGTTTAGGTTGACTGATGTCCTGGATTTTCCTGCCTTCCTCAAGATGCTTTATCCCATGGAATCCTACATTCTAAGGGGTAATGAGGCTGCTTTTGGGAATGTTTCTAATATGCACGAGACCTGAGCAATTTAATAGCTGTCATTCAATTAATGTGCTCCTGCAATATATCTTTAGCACAATATTACTTATCACAAGATACACTCATTCATCTTTGATAAGCAGCTCAAGTCAGTTCTGCAGAAAACAAAAATTTACTGTTCGTGCACAGCAGCTCTTAGAGCAGGAATACACAGGTCTTTCCAAAGGCTACTCACCACCTTTAAAAATCCCAAAGGAATGAAATTTCGTTATGAATTTATGCCTGGGCATTGGTGTTTTTAAAGGCTACCTTAATTCTCTGAGGAGAATTAAGCACCTGGAGCTATGAAGAACATTCAGTGAACTGCCAAAAGAACACCTTCAGCTCTGAATAGCCACCTGAAAGACCCAGCTGATCAAGCTTATGGGTTCAAACCAGAAAGGCTTTGATTCTTTACATTACTGCTGGTTAACAAAAGGCTACTTTCTTCTCAGAAGAATGCTCATAATGCCTTCTGATGTGCTTAAGGGAACACTTGGGATTTTGATGGAGATTAATTTTCTTGGCTGTCACTGACTCAAAAACTCAAAATAGGGAAAGACCAACTGAACAGTTTTCTTCATTTTATGCCCAGTATTGTTCTACGTATGTTTCAAGGTTGCTATTTGCATATTTCTGAACGTTCTGAAAGAGGCAGTCCTCTTATGGAAAAAGGAACTTGGAGGTGCTCTACAAGAGAGCATAAAAGTGTCACATTTTATTTCCTAAGTGCCAGTGAGAGTTAAACAGCTGGTTTAGTCCTGACATTATCACCTTTCTCACTCTCACCTTCACTGCCAACACAGCATTGCTTACAAACACTTAGTGCTGAAGAAAAAGCCTTCTGTTGACTTGTGAGAGCTCCCACAGGCACTACCATTCATAAGATGCAATGGGAAAGGTGCAGCCACAGGCTGCGCCTGGCATTGCAATTCCAAGCCTAAAACGTGGCATTTCCAAACACCATGTGATGTACTTCCCTTCCCAGTGGTCAAACTGCAAGTACCACCCGTGGTCTTGGGGATGCCCTGTGCAGGGACAGGAGCTGGACTTTCTTGATTCTTGTAGCTCCCTTCTAACTCAGGCTATTCTGTGGTTCTCAAGGTACCACATCCTTTTTACAGATCCACACTACCTACTCTCACAGAAGAAGCTGAAGTCTTCAGGGGACTGACAGCACACTCTAGAAATACTTGGTGTGCTTGGAGCAGTATAAATGAGAACAGATTTTTTGCTTGAAGAGCTTTCGGTTTAAAGTTACAGTCAGGATGCAACACTTCAGGTTGCTGATCCAGGACACAGGCAGTCCAATTTCCTGCAGAAATACGCTTGTAATATTATCCAGTTTAGACTAATCGAGTTCTTAAAATAGGATCGGTACAGTGCATGCACGTTTACTGAGAGTTACATAAGCTGCATTAATTCCCTCACTATTATTCCATTTACAACCTCGTAAGAGATTCAGTAAGACAGCAGCTTATCATAATATGACATGGTTTGCATCAAGCTCCTTATGCAGGCAGTTAAATATTGATATACATTGATCTCCTCACTGACAGCTGCGAGTTTTTTTGGCATTATCGAGCTCAGAGGTGCAGATACTATATGTTATTAATTACTAAGACTAGAAGAAGCGGGAGGACTATTTTTTTTTTTTTTTACATCTTTTTTGACCCACATTTCTAGATAGGGGAGGATTCTTGGAGCAGCAGGCTCACCACCTCCTACACTTGTAGGCTTAAGCCCTATAAGTAAAAATAAACACACATATGAGACACAATAGACTACCCACCCCAACCAGTCACTAGGAGAAATGAGCCTCCGGCAGCTCGGTGCTTTCTCACAGAGCGTGAGAGGAATGAAGGAAGTAAAAAACAGTACAGTAAAAAGAGTTTTAGGAATGGGTGTATGGAAGCGCACACCGAGAGTGGAGAAGGGATAAAGCCCCATCCCACCCCATCCTGCCCGTTCCCCGCCGAGCGCAGCAGCTCAGCAGGGTCGCCAGGGCCGCCGCCAGCCCCGCACCTGCCCCGGCTCAGGTGGGCTGAGCCCGGCGGGCCGAGCCCGGTCCCGGCCGCAGCGCGGCCCCCGCCCCGCCGCCTCCCCTCCGCGGCCCCTACCAGGCGCAGCTGGCTCGTCTCATCGTAGGACAGGAAGCTGAGGATGCTCTCGATGGCCACGATGGGCAGCCCCATGAGCGTGTTGCTCTGAGGCGGCGGCTCCATGGGCGCCAGCGGCTCGGCGGCCTCCGGCAGCGGGGCCGGGGAGAGCCGCGCCGAGCCCGGGGCGCCGCCTTCGCCCTCCGACACGAGCCGCTCCTCCGGCGCCGCCATCTTGGAGCCCGTCCTTCCTCCGCGGGGGAACGGCACCGCCTCTCCGTGACGCCTCTTCCGCAGCCGTCACGGGCGGGCCGGCGTTCCCGCAGGGAATGAGGGAAGGGAACGAGGGAGTGGAGCTCCGAGCGCTGCTGCGGCGCCTGAGGGCGTGGGCTGCTGCCCCTGCCGTCAGGGCAGCCGAGCCGTTCGCGGGCGTCCGTCAGAAGGATGGCGTCCGACTCTTGTCTGTGGTGCTTAGAGACAGGACGAGAAAGCAAGGGCCGTAGACTAAAACACGAGAAGTTCGCCAAGCTGAGGGTGGCAGAGCGCCCTCAGGAACAGCCGCCCAGGGAGGTCCTGGAGACTGTGTCTCTCTGTCGACCTCCAGAACGAACCTGGACAGGTTCCTGCGTCACCTGCTCCTGGTGACCGTGCCTTGGCGGGCGGTTGCTCTGGTGATCTCCAGAGGTCCTTGGCAACCGTAACGAATCTGTCATTCCCATGCAAGGTTCCCACTCTCGCCGTGAGGAGTTTCCCTAATACCCAACCTGAACTTCCCCTGAGGCGGCTTTAGAGCATCCCCTCGTGTGCTACGGCTGGAGGTGGGAGATTAGGGATGAGTGCCTCCCTCTCCGTGCCCCTCTGAGGAAACTCTGTGGGAAAGGCCTCCCAAAACTCCGCGGGTGCTGCTGCGGGGGATCCGGCAGTGCTCCGTCCGGGCACACTGACCTACCGGGAGAATGTGCTTGGGTTACAGGGTGGAAAATACCCCTGTAGCTCCTAAGTGAGACGCAACTACATTCTCATTATAAAGTAATCCAGCCTGCTGTATTTGACCTATAGGTGTATTTTACCCTTCTGTGTTTGGTGTCCAAGCTGTCCCTACTCTGCTGGCAGGGGGAACCACGGCAGCCGGGGGGGCTGCAGGTCCACTGCCAGCCTTTGGGATCAGAGCCAGCTGGCAAAACCCTCGGCAGCCCGAAAACCACTGGCTGGAACCAGCCATAACTGAGCAGGCGGAACACCCAGAATAAAGCAAACTCTGCTCCTTTATTTGCACTTTATCCTGTATTTTAAAGAGGTTTCTGGATCAGATTGCTGGGACAACAAAGGGATGGGACCAGGAATGTTTATAGAAATTTCCCTTCTGAGAACAGACAGAACACCTCAGTTTCACAAGCATTTTAGCCTGACAGAAGTTGGCACAGCCTTTGAAAAGCATGGTGCCAGTCTCCTCAGTGCCTTCAGCCGCCGCTGCTGCTTTGTTTTACATCAGCAGCAGCTTTGGGTGTCTGCTCTTGACTGGGGAACTGGGGCTGCTGAAGACCGACCTGCCAGAGGAAATCACTGAACAAGTGCTAAGATTGATGGTAGCAAAGTGTGTGGGAAAAAGACATCACATGTCTAGGGAGAACGAGACCACTTCTTTCAGTACCTGTACCAAGGTAGTACAGCTTAAAATATTACAGGACTGAAGAACTAGCTGCCTGCAGCACCTGTTTACATTTTTTTTTTCAGCCATGCTTCCTCTCTTTGAAGTTTTATCTTAACCCATTTCTTTCACTCCCCCCTCTCCTCGGCAACTCATCTGCAACCTCTTTCTTAAAAAAAAAAAAAAAAAAAAGACATCTGGAAAAGAATTAACTTGGGAGCAGGGCAAATGCAAGGGTAAGGTTTTATGTGTGTCATCCTAATGGCACTCCAAAAATGTGTGCTGAAATTAAGATTTCCTTTTGGGGAGCAGAACACTGTGTGCCTTGTATGGATCTGGAAGTGTTTTGCTGCCTCCCCTCCCCTAAGCTCATCAATGCTGCTATATTGCAACAAGGGTTTTATTCTTGTGCATGGTTTTCAGACCTGATCTCCTTTCACATGCACCGTCAGCAGTTTAAAACTCGCTCAGGAGAATTCTTTATGAACTTGTGACTTGGCACGTGAAGTTTGGGCTGGCAGTGTGTTCATGCTTTAAAAGGAAATGGGGTTTTTCTTCCTACCTAAGCTTATAAAATTTCACATGGTTTCAAGAATGCTTTTTTTTGGGTCATATCATTTGAACGACTTCAGTTTTTTAGATACAGCCCTATGCTTAATAAATATAAGCTGTATGTTTATCATATCACCAAACAGAATAAATACAATGAACAATATATATATTATGCTAACTATATATGTAGCTTAACAGTTAATAAGTCTATTTTAGTAAGTAGGGTAATTCTGCTGCCTTCCAGGTTCTGACTCATGTCCTTCCCCAGTGTATCTGGTATCATTTTTCTGAGCATGCATCACTTTGCATTAATTTGGAAAAACACAGCTCTCACGCACTTTCACAAAACCCCCCTTACAGACTCTCCAGTGGATGAACTTTTCAGTTATTTTGGGATACTGTGAAGCCAGAAAACTTGATAATACTTTCTGAAAGGGATGAAATAAAGTTATGTAGAATCTATTTGCGTGTGACATGTGATGTGTCATCTTTAAACAGCCTTAAATTTTGAATCTTGAAATAGCCATAGTTTTGATTTTTACCATGTTAGAATTGTAAGTATAGTTGGACTGATTTTTTTAACTTCTCAATGACTCACAAGAAGGTGTTAGGGGAAACAATTTTTTTCACTCCTTTCATGCAAAAAATCCACATAATATTTTTATTTATGTTAGCAGGAATTAAATTTTGATGTCTCCATACTCTGGACTACATATTGTGCTCCCAACTGATTGGAGTGTGCTGTGTTCAGGCTGTGAAATTTTACTGAAATTGTGTGGAATATTTTGATTGGGCTTTGTATGGAAGCAAACAACACCAAGAGCTGTGATGAATAGGAAGGAGCCTGGCTCAAATACAAGTCAAGTTGTATCTATGAAATCTGAGAAAGGAGAAGAAATTGAAGAAAGGGTAGAAAGAGAGAGAATGAGAAGCAGGAGCTAACAAGCAGATATCTGGGAAGACGGGAGTGGGGGAAAAATTTAGTAGCAGGGGTAATTTAGCACTCTCTAAAGCAGTGAGGGAAAGTGTGTAAGTAGGTCAGGAACTGTCATGTTGATGTGGAATATTGGAGCAAAGAGGAGTAATGTGCTCAGCAATGAGGGTAAGAGCAGAAGTTGGGTGGGAGGAGAGCAGATTTGTTTTATTAAATCAGTGTAATCAATAGAAAAATAGAAAAGTCTTTCCCACATGATATGTTTTCTTCTCAGGGGCAGCAGCAGTTTGCTCACTTCATAGATATTAGATATTTTTTTTAAAAGAGATGCTAAATTTGAAAGAAGTCTGGTCTATTCACACAGCTGTATTTTCATTCAGGCTGCTGGACAACAAGGCAGAGTAAAGTCTTTCTTAAAGGTCTTTTTTGAAAGGCATTAAAAATGGAAAAGAGTCATATTTAAATTTCCTTTGAGAGTGTTGTTAATAAACACAGACAGCAGTGTAAATTTGAACACATTAATCTTTTACAGCTGAAACTTTTAATCCTTTAATAGGTAATTGAGTAAATATTATGGTATAGAGTCAGCTTCAGATATGAATGTAATCCCAGTTTAATTAAATCAATGTAAATATTTAACTGGATCCTTTGCAGTTTAATCAGTTTTGGACCCAGTAGTGCTATATGTTGCATAAAAAAACTGGTCGAGAAACTGACTCCAAAATCTACATCCACCCTTAATTTACTTGTAATACTGTATATTAGGTATCTGATAGTAATCATATGTTGATGCTGAGAGGCATGAATATGATATGAATATGGTGCTCCATGGGAGATGAGAGGTAGAAGCAAAAGGAAAACATGTAAAAGACAGGATAGAAAATACAGCTTCTGTGGATTTTTCTGAACTGAAAGTCTGGGGACCAGACTAATCTTGAGTGGTTTATGTAGGTCAGGCGTGTTGCACAGTCAAGCTTTCATCAAATATATTTTTCTGTTTTAAATTTCAAGAAAATACTTAACTTAAAGTGTTTCCAAATTCACAGGAAAATTTGCATTTGTAGACACAGACTATATTAATTCTATACAACTAATAATTAATTACAAATCAGGTAAACCAATGTACTTGGGGGATAAAAAGGATAAGGCTTCAGACAAATACCCTTTCTATTTCCTCCCCTAAGGAGGGCTGCAGAATCAGCTACTGATAGCATGTTGCCTTGGTCAGGTTACACATCCTCACACAGCTGTACTCAGAAGTAACCTTGGTGAACAAGCTTCAATAAAAAAACAAGAAACTTTCATCAGGTAACATGACTTCTGCTAATTCTCTGTAGTATTCTCTTATAGGAGGTTTGCCATCCCTAGGGCACAGAATTAGTTCTTTCCATGAGGAAGGGCTCAGTTTTGATGTCAGTTCCAAGGAATTCCTTTAATTTCAGTATATTACCACATACTTACACTATGATAAAGATAATTTAGTAAAGACACAATAATGTCTCTATGTCTCATTAGTTCAGCTTGATGAAATATCATAGATACAACAAACTGCACCAGTAATTTTGATGTTCCCATGTCTGCCAGGATTATCTCAAGCAGAGTCTGATATGCTGAGGTACAGGACTGTTGCTCTGGGTGAGAAGGTGCAAAGAAAATAGATAAATTAACTATAAGAAGAGGTTCACAAAGACATGGCTTGCTCAGTCTTTCAATCACTTTACAGGAAAGAAATTATTGGGGGCCTGATCTTGAAATAATTTTGTATTTTCTGTAATCCTCCTGGTTTCATTCTCTCCTGACTGCAGAGGGACTGCTAACATGAGCTAAGTCTGCCTTCTTGGCAGCTGAGTAATAGGGATGAGGCAACAGTAAAATGGCAGCGTTCATTTAACTGTCCACATCCTCCAAACATCCAGCTGGGATGAAGGTCCAGAGTCACTGTGTGGCTGATCAGTGTCTTAAAGTTTCTAGTAAGGAATGGGATTTTGATCGCAGAATTTCTGTTTCCAACAGCTGAATATATTTGTGCTTAATGAGCATGTGTTTCAGCTCCTTCCCTGTTTTTCCTCACTGGCCAGCTCCCTTATCTCACTGGCCAGCTCCCTTTTGGGG